CCCCTTGTGTGCTCTGTTTTAAACGTAAAAATCCCTGGGACAAAACCCAAACTCAGACAAGCTATCCTTGGCCGTCGTTTACTGGACTTGGGCATGTTGCCTATGGAAAAAGGGGTGAAAGAATAGCAAAGACAAACTTCGTCTCCTTTGCAGTTCTGCAGATGTCATTTCTGGACCTGAAAAGTAGTCTTCCTTCATCCACCCATCTAGCCACTGAACATTTACTGAGCACCTATCACACGTGAACTTACCACGAGGTGCTAGAGATACAAAGACAGTTGAATAAGATACCCTCCAGGAACTCAAAGTCAGACTGGGGAATTAGATAGTGACCCCCCCCCAAAAAAAAGCAATGACAAAACAATGTGGTAATTGCTTTAACTGAGAAATGAAAGGTCTTGTGAGAATCTAGAAGATGGGAAAACTTCAATGATGAGAGAGTGAGGGAAGGCTTCCAGAGGGGATGCAGGATTTTAAGAATCAAGTACTTCACTCCTGGAGCTGATTTAGTCAGACTCCTCTATCACACTTTTCACACCCACCTGTGTGTGTGTATTGAGGAGAAAGGTCTGGTGGGAGAGAGCATTACCATGCTTCTAAAGAACCTCGCAATCCAAAGTGCGGTCCCGAGACCAGCACCATCCCCATCACTTGAGGCATTAGAAATGCAGAACCTCGGGCTCCACTCAAGCTCTCCTCATTGAGAATGTGCAGTTTAACAATATGCCCAGGTGAGTCATATGTGCACGAACAATTGAGAAGCACTGTCTTAGGAGATAAGGAGAGCCTCATCTCTGGAAATAAGCTTTGCACAGAGTCTGGATCCCTCACTCAAGGGCAGCCTTCAATGTCTACCTTGGACAGTTTGCAAACTTTTTAGTCTCAGAATCTCTTTACACTCTTAAAAGTTATTAAAGACACCGAAAAGATTTTGCTTATGTGGGTTATAGCTACCGAGGTTTACCATACTAGAAATTAAATTGGGAAATATATTATTTGTTAGTTCATTTGAAAACAACAAATTCCTACATGTTAAGATAAATAACAGCTATTATGCAAAATAACCATCTCTTCAAAAAAATTTTAGTGAGAAGAGTACCGTGGTTTTACATATTTGTAAACATTTTCAACATCTGGCTGAATAGAAGGCAGATGGATTCTCATATCTGCTTCTGCATTATGGCTGTTGCCATAACACGCATCAAGTGGCCCCTGGACTCCACTGTATGCTCATAGAATGAGGGTAAAATATTATATTTTAGCATTATTATGAAAATCATTTCGACATATAGACCACCAGACCATACTTTAAGAACCACTGATTGCTTCCCTGGAGCGCTCCTCTCTCATAAACTCTTTACCTGTTGACGCTAAAGAAACACCATCACACCTTCAACTATGCCAATTGCAATGATTTGTCACAATTGCAAAGAAAATTCTTTACTGAATCTTTTGAGACAAAGAATGGTTTCTTAATTTTATAAGTTCTTTGGATGTAAAGATTCCACATCCTCCCTTTAAAGGCCAGTTGAGCAGTCCTCAGAATCGTGTATTATCTGACGCACGCCAGGTCATCCTGTTAACCTCACTGGAGAGAGCATTGGCTGCACTAACTTTAATTTACATAGGTGCCCCCAAAATGAAGAGAAGCTATACATTGAAAAAAATACTTTGTCAATTATCAATTCTAACCAAATATAAGGTGTTATTCTATATTTTCTACAGCATCTCTTGCTATACATTTAATATTTGAAATGTTGTGACTTCTGATTAAATTTTCTCACTTAGGAAAAACTAAACCTAACTAATGTTTCCTCTATTTTCTTCCTGCCTCTAGGGTCTATCTCCAGTTTTCTCTTGCTACTATTTTGTCTTATTGTCTCTTGTGTTCCTAAGCAAACTTTAAGACAGAATTCATAGTTCTAAAAGGGACTTGAATGATCATCTAGTCCAGCAGTTCTCAATCTTTCGTGCACATTAGAATCAACATTGTTTGGAGAATTAAAAAGAGAAAAAAATTAATGCCCGAATCCCACTCCAGACTAAATAAATCCAACTCTCTGGTGTAGACCCAGACTTTGGAACTTTTTAAACATCGACCAGAAGATTCTAATGTGCAGCCAGAGTTGAAAAGCTCTGATCTAGTCCAACTATTCACTTTATACATGGCGGGGGTTCAGGGATAGGGGGAGGCAGCAAGAGGGGAAGGAACCTAGAATCACCAGGATAAACCTAGGATTTGAATACCACCTTCCGGCCAGACAACATGACCAAGATTCTTCCTTGAATCCTCTTAATTCAGAGTTCTCAAAACACAAACAAAATGGAGTTTATTCTCCTTTTTTGGATGAAAGGCATTTTTCAAATAACTTGATTAAGGTATGTTTTATATACAATAAAATAAATGCCCCTATTTTAAGTTTAAAATTCAATAAGTTAGACCAATATACACACTCAGGTTACTACCTCCCCAATCTCGATACAGAACATTTCCGCGACCCCACAATGTTTCCCCCTGCCTCTTTCCTATCAGCGACCTCTGTCCCAGGTGACAATTACTCTGATTTCTGTCACTGTAGATTATTTTTTCCTATTTTAAGACCTCATATCAATGGAATCATACAGTATGCATCATCCTTTTACGTCTACTTCTTTGACTCAGTATAATTTCTTTAAAGATTCAACCATGTTGTCTCAGCAGTTTCTTCCATTTTATTGATGAGTAGTGTTCCATTGTATAGATATTCCACAGTTTATCCATTGGGTTGTTCCCAGTTTTTGGCTATTATAAATAAATCTGCTATGAACATTTGTGACTATGTCTTTGGGAGGACATACGCTTATATTTCTCTTGATTAAATATATAGGAGTGGAAATACTGGGCCCAATGAGGCCTGGGAGACAGGCATGCAGAAGAAAGTGTTCCAGCCCAACAGCCAGCCAGAGGTGGCTCTGCATACAGGTGGGGCTGTTTATTAACATGGAGATCAAAATACCAATTTCACAAGCATGTTGAAAAGATTAGAGAAAATGCATGTAAAGTGCCTGGTAAAGAGTAGACACCTGATAAATGATAATAGAAATAACTAGAGAGAGAACTGGGTTGGACTGGAACAAGATCCCTGAATTTCTCAGTGAAGTACTTTTCCATGACTGCACACTTTTCACCTTTCCCCCAACCTTCATCCAGCCAAAGGCTCCCCCTTAACCACCCAACCCCAGCATCCCCTCCTGTCTTTGAACTTGAGGCCATAAAATATGAACTACCTTCGAAATAATTCAGAATTGTATTATGGCTTGTTTTTTCTAATAAGCTTTAGTTCGCTTTGACAAGAAAAAAATCAGATAAGGGAACTCGCAGTACATGAATTCAGGTAAAGAGAAATGTCTACCTTTTAGGCAATATTAGGCTGAGACATTATTACAAGTGGTGACCAAAACTACTGGTAACTGTAAGTGAACCTGGGAATAGCTTCTGGAGGATACAGCCCCATTTGCATTTAAATCCTCTCTCTCATCTAGTTCTTTTCTCCATGACTTATAAGTTCAAATAAATGTCTTCTTTTTCTGGTCTACCACCCCTTTCCTTCTCCTTCTCATTCCCGTACCTCCCAGTACTCCTTCCACTTGCACGACAGAGGAACCAATAAACGGCCCATGGCCAACCTGTTCATTTACACACACACACACACCCTTATCCACGTTCTGTGAGAATTGTGAAGACTTAAATTTACCAGATGCATCATGAAAGATGCTATCATAGAATGAGGCGCTTTTCTCTCACAATGTCTCCTCACTCACGGGAGCTTGTGAGAAATGACCCTGCCACAACCCGGTTGACAAGCCCCAGAAGTCGTGAGCTCCCCTCACTGGGATGGCTGCTGCTCACCATCATGTTTTCCCTCTCCCGCAAGGCCTTCTCCCTGCCTGCCCTCCAGGCCTTTCCCTTGATTAAGAGCCTCTCTGGAGCTCTTCAGCTAAATCCCAGGCCAGCGAGCGGACAGCGCTTCTGCCTCAGCCAATTTGAATGCACGCTGCCTAGGAGATTTCCTGACACACTCTCAGCTGCCGCATTAAAACTGCATGAGAGTCTTCCTCAGGAGCCTAATAATAGCACCTTTCATCTGTGAGCCACTTTATAAACATTAACTGATTAAGCTGCCCTCTCTCCTCACAAGCTCTGGGCTTCTGAACAGTGGACTTCATTCTCCACTGCCCTCAGATTACTCCAGGAGGAAAAAAACTGGGACCTGAAGGATCTTTTCTGGGTATTTTAGGCCAAAACAATATTAATGCCAAAGGCCTTGAAATAACAACCCACATTTGGGTAATGGCGTGGAAAGGAAGGGGATTTAAGTCCATGTTTATTTAAAAGAGACTGAATTGAGGTTCTCGTCTCCCAAAGCTAGAGTAGTAGCTTGGTCTAGGGCAAGGGTCACTGACCTACAGCCCATGGCACCAAATCCAGTCTGCCACTTCTTCTTATAAATAAAGTTTTATTGGAACACAGTCATGCTCATTCGTTTGTGTGTTATCGATGGTTACTTTTGCACTACACTATCACTTGAGTGGTTGCAACAGAGACCGAATGACCCACAAAGCCCAAAAATATTTACTATCTGGCCCCGTATAAAAAGTCTGCTGACCGCTTAGGGGCCCCTGACCTTAAGGTCTATGGAACTCAAAGTTTGTTCTCATCCTATATATTCCCAAAATATCTTTAATCAAGTTTCTTTCCCTATCCCAGCCTCAGTTGCTACATCTGTAGACTGAATAACCTCTGAACTGAGCCATTGCCTTTGGCTTATTCTCTCATTGTCCTGTAAATGTGGGCATCTAATACGTTATTGTCGTCTCATTACTAACAGCTGACTTCTGAGGGCAGGAACAGAGCTGTATGTGCCTCATGAATCACTGTAGGCACAAGGCTTTATGCTGAGCCCTAAATTTCTTTATGGAGTATAACTGAACTGACTTGAATTATATTTCTTTCTTTGCAGAGAGATCTCACAGAATGATGTCTTGGAAGTGATAGAGGCGAATGTGTTCTCCAACCTGCCCAAATTACATGAAATGTAAGCAAGAACCTGCGTGGTTTGCTCATGGCTGGTCTCAGCAACAGCCTTAAAATCCACTTACATTCCTGGCGGTCCTGGCTCTGCCCTCTCCTCAGATCCCTAGAATTTCATCTTATGAGGTCAAAGTCAGCCCCAAAGGCACCGTCACGTGTCTCTGTGCCTGGCCATGCAGGGACCAGCCCAGAGCCTAGTCTCTGCTCCCTGTCTCCCAGTTTGTTGCTTAGTAAACCCAAGAACCTTGCTCAGCGACTGTGAGCAAGTACCTCTCATCCTTCCACAGTCAAAGCCCAAAATAACTCCCACAAGATGTAATCGAAGATGGGCCGTCCTAGTTTGAATACTATCCTATGCCACATACTCACTGAGAAACCTTGGCCAAGATACAAAATCACTCAGATTTACTTCTCCCATCTGTAAAACTGGAATAATTAAATTGCGTTCCTCAGTGGATCACTGTGATGAATAAATGAGATGAGAAATGTCAATTTGATTTCACACATCAACTGCCATCACAATCCTTAGTTCCTCTATACTACAACCAAATTTACTTTCTCTCGTTGACATTCTAGTTTTACATACATGTCAATACCTACACAGATCCACTTCTGTTTCATACCAGTCTATAATTACCAGAAATTAATTCATAGAATTATAGAATGTCAAGGCCAGAAGAGACTTTAGAGACTGTCTGATCTAGAGTTCTCCAAAGTATATTGTGTGTATCATCAAACACTCAAGAGATTATTAAGTGTTTTAAAAAAGGAAAAAGCTTGTATGGTCAAATAAGATTAGGAAACATTGAGCAAATAATGTTAGAAAGATTCACTTACTATAGGAAAACTTCTCGGAGCCTTTAATATGCTAATATATACTTGGTATCTCCAAGAAGAATATTAAGTGTTTCTCAACTAATGTCACTGAAAATGTTCCTCCTGTGGAGCATTTATTAATGTCTCACAAAATTCCCTTGGAACACAGTTAGGAAAGTCAATGAACAACTTTCCTAACTTCACAGATGAGGAATGAACAGCGCTGAGAAGTTGCGAGGCTTGTCTAAAGTCACCCAGCCAAATCCACAGCAGGATAAGGACTTGAACATAAATCACCTGACTCTTTTGTACGTTTTTTTTTCTTTTTTTGGTGAGGAAGATTGGCCCTGAGCTCACATCTGTTGCCAATCTTCCTCTTTTTGCTTGAGGAAGATTGTCACTGAGCTAACATCTGTGCCCATCTTCCTCTATTTTGTATGTGGGATGCCACCACAGCATGGCTTGATGAGCGGTGTGTAGATCCATGCCTGGGATCCAAACCAGCGGACCCCAGGATGCCAAAGCAGAGCACATGAACTTAACCACTATGCCACTGGGCTGGCCCCTCTTTTGTATCTTTTAAAAGACTTTTTAGCATTTGCCAAGTATCAGTAGGGAATAAATACACACACACACACGTGAACTTACTTAGGAATGACACTCAGTCTGTCCATTTTGGCAGACTCCTCTTCCCTTTTCCTTTCTCCCTCATTCTTCCTTGTTGTCATTAAGCATCTGCAACTAATGCCTTGCCTTCCTCTCCCCATTGCCTTCTTGCTCCTTCCTTTCTTCTCTCCCTGCTTGGCCTCTCCTTACTCTACTTGGGAAAAGAGACTTGACTGGTATCTCAGAACCCACAGAGAATATCAGAGAAATGAACCAAAGGGCAGCCAGCCCTCTGGGCAAGGTCAAGCAGCCATCCCTCTATGCTGTTCAATGGGCAGTGGAGATAATGGGATGGCTCTTTCATCTCTTCCTTGCATGGAGAGGTGCTCACCCCCATGTAGCATTGACTATACTTAAAATGATTAACTACCTGGTATTTGGATCTGGGTTCCTATAGGTTACTGCAACATAAAAGCTAATGAAACAGGGAGGAAGTAATTAACACCAAGCATCTCTGCAAACATACATTGATCCAGCAAGATGAGGAAAAGGGCAGCCTCTCTCTGTTGGAGTCCAAATGTGAACATGCTCACATGCAGACTATTGATCAGGACACAGCACAAGCCAACATGAGTCAGAAGTCACCACTTTCCATGAGCTGTGAGGGAGCAGCCTTAGTTTACAGCATGAAAGGAATCACTGGCACATTCCCAGCTACTGTCTGCTGAGATCTTATGGTTAAAACCAGAGAAGGACACTGTTTTCCCCCAACCTTTGTTCTCCTTTGCCTCTTCACTCCTTTTTCTCCATCTCCTTTTGCCCCTTGCCCTTTTTCCTTCCCTCCCATCTTCTTTTCACCCTCTTTTGTTATTTTCTCTCCTCTTCTCTCTTGTCTCCAAACCAGACAAAAGCTTGTTTCCCCACATTAGTCTCATCTCTACACTTTTAGCCTCCTCAGACCCTGGGAGATCCTTACTGGTTAAACACCAGCTGTGCTCAGGGTGAAAATGACTCACCCAGCCAATGCTTTGTTTGCTTCTAATGGACAGATCCCAGGACTTTGGTGATGAAAGTTAAAGGGGACAGGGTTAATATTTAGTTTGCACAGTTTAGCATAGTAAAAGGCACTGCATGCATGCTCAATATTTGTTGAAAGAATTGGTGTATGGATAGATGGACTGATGGGTGAATGATTTATTGATACACTCTTTATATAACATGAAAAATACTACAGAATTCCTTACTGTTGAGACCACGTTCATGTTTTTTCCTCTTTTACAGTAGAATTGAAAAGGCCAACAATCTGCTATACATCGACCATGATGCCTTCCAGAACCTTCCCAACCTCCAATATTTGTAAGAACCCTTGTATTCTGGTGCCCACTCTAGATCAAATTGGGTATTCCTATTTTAGCAAAATTGTCCATTTGCTACTCTCGGGAGCAACTGCTTGTTATCATGATGTGGGGCAGAAGTGGAGGTGGGGAGGCACTTGCTGGTGGATTTTAGTTTAGTTTAATGAGTGAATTCCATCAATATAATTGCATTTTGTTTTCATTTACAAAAACAGACATCATAAAGAATGCCATTTGCATTAATGGGATTGTCACACAGACCTTTGCAGAACTCAGTCATAATTTACTGTTAATGAGATGCAGCCAAAATTTCTGCTAGCATTGAGCTTGTGACCTGGACCTCAAAGACACTGTACCTCTTGTTCTGCATATGTGCATTTTTCTTTGATACAGTACTTTATTTTACAAATTTTGGTTAACAATAGGCATGGTATTTTATCAGCAGAGAGAGTCCTAGTTTGAGCTCCATCCCTTGGGCCTGCCCCCATTAGCAAAAGCTGCTTCTTCCACTCAAATGGCTTTCAAATTAGCTGAGGGCTTGGCAAAGCCCTGAGTGCTATGGTGGGGCCCCACAAAATAACAGATGAGAATTTGGGCTATGGAGTCAAACTTTCTGGACCCATTTACTAGCTACTGATCACAGGCAAGAACTTAACCTTTCAAAGATTGTTCCTCATCAAGAGAATAGAAATAATAATAATGATGGATGTGTATCTGTTATATATTAACACAATAATAATGCATAACCAACTACCCCAAAAAGACACCATTTTAAAGCAACAACTATTTACCATTTCTTTCCTGTGAGTTGATCAGAGGAATGGTTCTGATTGGGCTATGTCTGCTTAACCTCAGCTAAGCTCACTCATGCATCGGCAGTTAGTTGGCAGGGCAACTGTAGGCTGGCTACTCTGGCTTGTCTCACTTGGGATGACAGCTCTCTTCCAAGTAACTCATGTCCAGCAGGCTAACATAGGCTTGTTCTCATGGCAGTCCTAGGGTTCCAAGAGAAAGCTGAAGCTTATGAGCTCTTGAAACCTAAACCCTGAATTAGCATCTTCTGATGCATTATTTTAGCCAAAGCAATTCATGGGGCCAGCCCAGATTCAACAGGTGGAGAAAGATGGGAAAGAAGCTGCAAACTTTCAATATCAGGTGGGTGGATACAGGGAAGGGTACAGAATTGAGACCATCTTTGTAATCAGTTTAAAGCAGCTAAAGAGTTTTGCACAGTGTCTATCACAGAGCAAACGCTAAATATTAGCTACCAGTGATATTATGACTCTGTCCCTAAATTTTGATCCTTGAGAATTGGAGTTAGCAGGTACAATAAGGAACACTGGGCCATGTGCCTTAGATCTATGAATGGAGACTGACTGAGGGAATAAAAGATTTAACAGAAAAGAGTCCATATGACCTGGAACTTCCTCTCTCAGATAGAAACCCCAGAAAGAATCTGAGAAAGAAACAAGGTTGTCCACTCCTGAGTTAATGTCAGTGGCAGGACTGGCTTCATTGACATGCAACCTGTGCAGTCACACAGGGCCCCGTGCTCAAAGGGTCCCACACTCAGCGGGCCTCAGACTAGGTTTAGTTCTCTGCTATGACTGTCTTGAAATACTTAAACATTTCTGAACATTTCTGAAACATTTCTGCATTTTCATTTTGCACTGTACCCCACAAATTATGTAGCTGGTCCTGCTCAGAGGTTAGGGTTATGATCTCTCCTACTTTCAGACTTGGGAGTCTTGACTCCCTAAATGGACTTTGCTATACTCTCTACAGAGGCTAACCTGGGCTAGGCACACAACAGTGGAGGAAATATGGGGTAACAGAAAAGGCACAGGCCTCAGAATCAGAAAATCTTGGGCTTCGTCCTAACTCCACCATTTCCTCTTAGGCCAATCACTGGGCCTCTGAGATGCACATGGCTTAGAAGAGCCTCACATGAGATTTCTATATGAAAAATATTTTACAAAATATATTATATAAAATATCTTATACTACAAAGAGCTCAAAAACATTAATAAATGTGTTAAGTATTTGTAGAATGATTATTTTTGGTCAACCGAAGTCTACCAGTCCATCCTCAGGAAAATTCCAATAAACATTGAATGGAGAGTTATGGTGGCCACTAAGACCTTCAGCTATTACCTAGATTTTGGCATGATTTCAAAAAGAGGAGTTTGGGACACGCCTTTGCATTTAATGGAGCAGTAAAGAAAAGAAAAAGGAAAAGAAACTATATATGAAGTCAGAAGGACTGGATTCCAGATGGAACACTGATATTTACTGGCTAGATAGCCAATTACCTTCTCTAAGCTTCAGTTTCCTTATCTGTAAATTGGGAGGTTGTGAAAACCAAATTAGACTACGCCTGTAAAAGACATTTTGCAAATTGTTTTTTAGTATACAAACTGTAAAGAACTATACAAATATAAAATTATTTGTGCCTGTTACTCCGTTCATTTCCTTCATTGCTTTTTCTCTTTTCCCTCCCAATTACCATCCCTTCCTTCCTACTTCTCTCTCTTTTCTTTTAGAAAAAAATCTAAGTGGAATCTCAGGGCTACAGAGCCTTCAATAACAGAATGAAAACACCATAGGAGCACCCTTGTTCACAAATGATCACATGTGGCTAATGAAAAGCATTCCTGCAGAGGATAGATCCAAGAAGAAATTCCCTTGACAGCCCCTCCCCCACCACACACACGTATTCTGAGAATGGTGGACTGGAAGCAGGTGAATAAGGGATAATAAATCATTGCAAAGTTTGAAATCAAGAGATCTAGAATTTGACCACAATATTGGTCTACACCTTGTGGCCAGCACCTTTTATTCTTATTAATAAGGGCCCTCAGCCTTCTCTCTAGGGGATGAGGGCTGGGGAGGAACTTGGGAGCAAGTAGGCATGGAAGGCATAGCCCTAGATTGGAGGAAGGGGGACCTTGGGCAGAACAGAGGGGACAAAGCTTTGATTTTGACTTTGGCTGAAATTTGTGTTATTGGTCGTCAAGTCCAGCCTCTCCTTTGTGTCCTTTTCTCACTTTGAGGTGTTAAGTCCCTAGTCCCATCTGGCTCCCCTATCAAGTCTGGAGAATGCTAGAGGGTATGGATTCCAACCCCATCCTTCCCTGAGAGGAGGTTATTATTCTCAGAGCATTTGAAATGTGCTTTCTAACTGGGAAAAGAAAAGAATTAGTAAACAGCTTGGATGAGTGGTTTCATTGTCAAAGGATCTTCCGTGATTGCTCTGAAAAAAATATACTTACATACTTCTACAGTGTACAAAATCCCTTCACATCCACTGCCATGTGAATCCCCATCAGGAAGTTAAGACAAAGAGTTGCCCCAACTTAAGTCTTTTGACTTATTGCCCAGGGCAAGTCTTCTCTACATGTACACTCTTCCCCAGGATGTGGCACATGGTGACCTGGGAATTGGAGCAACTGTGTACTCCAAAGGCACTTCTACTAGCATACATCTACTCAAGGATCCGACTGCGGCCCTTTGAAATATTTTCCAAACTACTAAGAGGGATCACCTAAATTCATAGCTGTTCATCTAATCTGGAAGAAAATATCATGGGAACAAAGCCCAGTTAAGCTTCTCTCTCCTTCCATGCTTATTTGTGTCTGAGCAGCAGTCACAAACAGTTTTATGATTCAGCAGCCAGGTAGAGATAGATGGCAACGATTTCACATATTCCTTGGGATGATGAACTACTTGCTTCAAGGCAAAGAAAAAACACAAAATGGATGAAGGAATCCGGAGGGGCCCGGTAGGATTGAGTAGTTGTTTATTTCCCTAAGCCAGGATAAATGCTTATCATCACAGCCACCAAAGCAGGAAATTACAAGGGGTAGGGGGGAGTTGCCATTTGACTTGAGGATCCTACTTGCTGTGCACACACACTTAGAAATGTTGTTCTGAAACCCTCAGCCTTGATTCCATTTCATGCTGATCATTTGATGGCACAGAATTCAAGACAACTAGAAATCAGCGTTCTTCATCACTGCCTTCATACCTCACTGAGGAACCTGAAGTGGTTAGGAAAAAAACTCATGAATAAAGAAATGTACTTTGACTAGAAGAACGTATGTCAAAGGATTCATCTGGGTGGATTTTTTTTTTTAAGTCAATACTGTATTTGCAGGCAATATTTCTTTCTTTACCACTCTGCCTTCCTGGAGCTGACCTTTTGTGTATGAAAGATTACCTATTGATCTGCAAATAAGGTTTACACAATATTCTCTTGCCTTTGCATCCTGTCAATGTAATTCTCAGGCAGCTGGATGTTGCTCTTTGCTACTCAATAAACCATAATTCCATCTTAGCAAACGCTTCACACAGCTGGGTAGGCCCCCACTCCCACTGATAACCATCTTGCACTCACATGTGGGCCTGTTACACCACCTTAGGATGCCTGCTAATGGCAACCATGCCATCTGCTTTCTCCCGTTGAGGATAATTCCAGGAGATTCTTCACGGCGACTCATCTCAGTAATTTAGGCTCCTTCTTCCCCACCCGTCCCTTAAATCCCTGTCTCTCTTTTCTGCATTCCTCTCTTTCATCTGTTTTGGTGGAGTAATGAAAGTACCTTCTCTGATTATAAAAGCTGGACCATTTGTTGAAGATCATACGGCAAAGGGAGAGAGGGCAGGGACTTGTGGGAGAGCATAGAGGATGCACACAGGCTCCAGTACCACCTGTCTGGGCCCAGGTGTCGGGTCTCGCCCTTGTTAGTCGTGTAACTTTGGATAATTGGCTTCATTTCTCTGTCTCAGTTTTCCTTTCCATAAACTAGGAATAAGATTTCCTGCATCCTTGAATTGTATTAAATGAAGTACTTAGGGGAATGACTGACATTTAGAAAATTCTCAATAAATGTTAGCAATTCTTATTAAATTCTTGACCCTGTGATTTACTAGCTAAGGGAGCCCATGTAAGGGACCTCACCTCTTTGTACCTCAGTTCTCTACTCTGCTTAAAAAAGAAAA